CTAGGAAATCTCAGCTACGTTTCATCTGACTTATGGATTGTGAAAAGCTACTGTAGTGAAAAACAAATTGTTGGATACATATCGCATAGAAGGTTTATATGATATATCACTCAGCATGGAGCCTGGTTTGATTTACTTTGCACCCAAGCAAAAGAAACTGGAAAACAAAAATAATGTTTTTCCATTCTTTGTATTCCCTGTGATATTCCGCCATCCTTCTAAAGGTAAAGCCCATCATGAAGTCACTGTAGTTTTGCATTCAATAACTGATGGAAGGATAAAACTTTTCTGTCTAGGCAGATGGTTCATAGTTGCACAGGTGGAACTAAATGTCTAATTTCCCAACTTATACCTGATTTGGAGAGGATTTTGGCTCTTCTGTCTTGCAGAGGAGACCAGGGAAATGCATGGGACAATGGGCTCTTCCTGTGCACTGACCCCTGATCTGGTTTAGACACCAGGGACCTTCGGAGAGTTACTGCGGAGTGTAATGAGAACTGTGGCACTAGGCAAATTACCCACTGTCTGACATTCAGGAGTTTGTAAAATGTTAGGGAATATTTAAAATGATGCAAATGAATATTTTCATGCAGCATATTTGGCTGTATTCCTGGCCTGTATTATTTTTCTGGGTTGGATACCTCCATCTCCAGCAGACATTCAGTCCTTGAAATGGGTTGGCTTTTATTTTATTCTATTTATTTTTCTGCCATCTATTATTCTAAAGAGATGTAATGGATCAACCCAGATATATTTCATGTTGTGAGGAGAGGGAATGAAATAGCATGAAAATCATCCACAGTTCAACACTGAGCTGATATCTGTGGAGATAAAAACTTAGTCTGCGACATTTTTACCTTGTGTTTTGGATTCCACGGGGTAACAATCAGCTCCAAAAATCTCATTGTGACAATGCTTTCAAAGTCAAATAAGGAGCAACAATGAGAACACACCCTCCCTCCCTCCTGCCCCAGTGGCTCCCCTCCAGCTTCATAACCCCAATTTATTTTTGACATTGCACCATAAGACTGAAAAGATTAATCTATAATAGATTATCTCACAAATCTGCAACAGAAGAACAGAGGATGTGATTTGCTCAGGATTTGGCACGCTAGCAATGGCACATTATGGCAAAGTGCTTAATAAATACCATACCACAGAGAATTAAAATGGAGGAAAGCTTAGGTTATTGGAGAGAAACTTCCCTGCGGTGAGGAAACCCCCCCTCCAACAGTTGCACCAACCACTGCCCACTGATCGACTACCAGTAGTTGAGAAAATCTTTTCCATCAGCTTTCCAGAAAGGTTTCTCCATGCTTAGGATGTTCAACACACCCTGCTTTGAGCTTGCATTTCAGAAGTGCTAAGCACCTATGACATAGAAATAGAGGCATTTACTCCATCTTTTGGTGCCCTGTGGGGTCTCAGGATGTATGTTATAGAAGTGCAAAGTGTAGTTATTTGTGGGAAGTATTGAATGCCTGGGGGAAACACAAACAGCTGGATGGCTACATCGCGTATTTGTGCTACCGAGTGTTCACCTTCATTTCAGAGAGTAGAGGATGTTTGTGTGGAACTCACTGCATAATTTATGGCACTGTGAAACATTTACTGGGGGTAAACCTGAGCCTGAGGAATCTGGTTGAAAAGGGCAAGCATATTTTTCTGGGACATGGCTACCTCTTGTGCCAAGCTTAGAAGCCAAAAGCCATCAAAACAAAACTAGAGCAATGTCTAGGTAAGGGGCAGCAATTTCTGGTGGTATTGACAACTTATTTGCCAGTTAACAAAAATAATTGCCATTCTGTCTCATCTTAGAAATTGCTTAGGAACACTAGAAACCTGAGAAAAATTCTCTCTCACCTGTCTGACCTGAGCCAAATGCTGAAGAGCAGTCTTCCACCTAAGAGCAGGTTGCTGCCAAGGGAGGCAGAGCAAAGCGTTGTTGTGCCATTGTTACTATTCAGTAACACCTTCCTTCTGCTGAAACTCAATTCTGTTTTGCAGCATCTCACTATCTGCTAAGTAGCTGGAGATAAATATGGTGCTCTAACCCCCTATTTCCTCTATCTTCGGGGAGATTTACCTGCCAGCCTGGGCAGTCCTTTCTGGCATGAGAAGTTGAACAAAGTTCTCCTTGCAGTAATGGAGTTCATTAGTCTGCCATGCCCCTTCCCTTGACCCAGTGGGACTTTTCCTTTGCCTGTGCTTCTGCCAGCTCTTGGCCTCCTGCATGGCACCAGCAAAGGTCTCATTCTCCAGACTTGTAGGCTGGAGGACAGCCTCGTAACTGAGGACAGTAATTCATTTAGTGTGTGCCATCAAACAGCAGCTGTTTTTAAACTGACCTGAGATGCAGGTGTGAGAGAGTGGCATTGCTCATGGATGTGCAGGAGAATAGCAAAAGTCCATGAACCAAAATCCCACAGATGAGCAGCAGGCTGAGGTGTCTCACACAGATCTGGGGATGGGGAACTGCCTCATGAGCCAGTGCTGCCAATGGACAGACAACACCAAGATGCCTGTGTGCTGTTGTCTCCACAGTACCTCAAAAAGATGCTTACGCCTTCACTTAAGCTGGCTTTTTAGCTAGAAGACACAGGCTTTCTTTGGTTTTCTGTCTGTGTGGTGACGACAACTCTCCCCTTTATTCAGCAGCCAAATTGAAGCTTGCTTGGGCAGCACTGACATCATCCAGCCTGTGTAGTGATGCACAGCTCAGCAGGGGAAACCAGCCCAAGGAAACAGTGATGATGCTACTGCAGATCCCAAGTTGCTTGAACTCAAATCTCTCCTCTCTCAGCTCAGTCCCTGATCCTTCTTCGAGAAATCAGAATCTGGGCTTTCCTCTCACAGATACCTGAAGGTCAGTCCAGGCTCCACTTTTGTGCTCTGTTGGCAGGGAAGTGAGTTGCACTTCAGCAGTTTGGAGGGATTTTTGAGCTGGGAGTCAGCAAAGGTGGCAGCAAAAGCTGCTTTCAGAGGGGGGAAAAGCAGTGCTTGGAGTTTCTGTGAGGACTGATGCAAGTGGTTCAGATTGATGAGCATTGCCACATCATTCTCAACTAGATAATCTTTAAAGATCCGTTCCAACCTTCTGGCTCAGGAACTGGAGGGCAGCAGGACTTCGCTCCTGGCTGAACATGCCCAAGATCCCTGCATCCTCTAGCCGCTGTGCCATGGAAGAGCTGTGGTGCTTATCAGGTGCTTAACTTCTCTTGTGCTGTGGGGACTCATGTAAACATCAGAAAAATCCAAAGCCACAGAAGCAGCCATGAAGTGCTGGCACACAGCCTCTGCTCCCAGGTGGCCTCAGCACTCATGCCCTGCTCTAATGCCACCGCTGCACTCAGAGGCTGTGAGAGGCTGTGTAGTGTGGCCAACTGCACTGAATTTCAGTCTTTTTTTTTTTTTTTTATTTTTGGTGAAAGCCAGCAATCATAAGAATTAAGTGGTTGGATGAACCATAATTTACTACTGTGAGCTCTCCTTGCCTGTGTATTTCTAACAGATACAATGACAGATGCTGAGATGGTTGCACTTTGGACAAAATAAATATAGTAACAGTAATAATGGGACAAAACTGTAGGAAAAAAAAAAAGACAAAGTTCATAAACAAATCCTCACTCATTTCATCACTTATTATTATTCTAATTCTGATCTTCGATTACTCAAAATGAAATGTTCAAAAAAAAAAAAAAAAAAGAGAGAGAGATTTGTTAGTCTAAAGCAATGTTAAAACATGTTCAGAAGTAATGCATTTGTTTGCTCAGGAACAATCCATCTGTTAGTACAAGAAAATCAGGACAGGAAAAATAAACGTTATCCTGTGATATCAGCCATATGAGAGAAGAATCCTTTTGAAACTCCCCCCAAGAAATCCCAACCAGAGTGCTGAAGGAGGCAGACAAGCATTAATGAGCAGGGGTGCAGCCTCCACTGGATTCCTGCTCCTGTAAAGCAGCAGAATTACAAAATGGATGGATATGAAAGAAATTGCAGATTTGCTGGAGATATCTGCTGCTTAGTGCCTACAAATTTAGTTTAGGGGGCCTCTCAATGCATGTATGGAAGTGAGTCAAAAGCAGAACTTCTGACTTGCTTGAAGATCTTTAACACCATCCCAACTTTTCTAGAAATTAAAACCTTTCCAAGCTAATAATTCTGTACTCTTGGATTTTAGCTTTTTTTTTTTTTTTTTTTTTAATCAAAGATGTATATATTCCAAATTTGTCAAATGACTGGACAAAGCAGTGTTAAAAATTCAACTACACTAATTACTAGCTGAGCAGCATAAAAACCTCTGAATAAATGTCAGTCTAGGAGATAAGCTCTTATCTTAATCTAATGACTCCACAGACTTAATTTGTCAGGCCAGCCTAGTTGATGAAAAACAGGTTTCTATTCTCCAGTGTTAGCAGCCACATCTTTCCAAATCTTTGAAGTTGGATAGTAATACCATCAGTGTCATCCTGCAAAAATCTTGTGGCCAAGCCAATTTCATTCCTATTGTCCTGTTGCACTAATTAAAAGTTGTTTTACCTCCATTCGTCTGCAATAGGTGAAAATGAAGCCAATTTCTTTATAGATCTGTTATATTGTGGGATAATCTCTCTTTCTTTCTTCTTCTTCTTTTTTTTTTTTTTTTTTAATTCCCTCAGACTCAACAACATATTAATATTTGCAGAACTCTTTTAGTATCAGAAAGCCAGGCTTTGCAGCAGGGCTTCACAGACAGCACCGCTCCGTCCCAGGACAATTCCTACAGTGCAGATGAAGTTTGCAAGTGTGTGTCTGTGTTTATTTGTGTTGAGAACAATTTTGAGCTCAGGCAATGAATTTGATCTTAAAAGATGATTTTAGGTTTTGGAAGTTCTTTCCTAAAGGAGCATTTGACATATTTAGAGGTAAATGCACCAAATGTTCTTATTGTTTGGACAAAGTGGAATAATGAATAGAAAAAAAGAAATTGGCTGCAGTCAGTGTTTCCAGGCCCCTGTCTCAGCTAACCCTTCCAATGGGAATCTGGCAGGTCTCTTTATGCACAGTGCTCCACTCCAAAGGGCACCATTTAAGCATGGTATTTTTCATCCCACAGCAGTTGCAGTGTTTAAAGAAGGATATGTTTGGGTTTGAGGAGTTACCTGGGAGGTGAGGTTTATGCTGATGATACCCAGGAAGGTTACAGATAGGAAAATTTGAGGAAAATAACAGGGTTAAGGTGTAACCTACTGAAGCAAATCATAGAGGCCATGGGTCAGCCCTGCCTTTTTGAAACCATTTTTAAAGGTTTGTGTGTGAGTATGGACACTCAGTTCAGCATCCCGGTGGTCCAGGGTATAGAAGGCACTGGGCACCAGTGCTGAGGCAGCCAAATCCTGTGAGGCCAGGCAGGATGTACTGCCTGGCAAGGTTTCTCCTGCAGTAGCACAGACCCTCTGGTAGGACACACAGGCTGGAAGGAACAGTGGGGATCTTTGCATCTGCAACAACTTCAAAGTGGACATTACTTCCCCACCTTAGTTGGGTTCTGCATCTAAAGCATACCAATGGCATCCTTACACATCCTGGCTAGCACATAACTTCTTATGGGATATTTCTGTCAGCTGGAGTCCATAACATATTTCTTCTACTTTTTGCCCTCTATATATGTAGAGGAGCAGTTTAAAAATTATGCCTGCATGAAATGCTCCTGCTCCTAAACACAGCTCAGAAAGATGGGACTGTCAGATAAATTAGAGGCAAATTTCCATAGATACCAGAGCATTTCTGAGTGCAGATCAGTTCCTGAAATGTTTAAGAACTGTGGACTGTTGCTTTCTGAGAGACAACAAAATTTTATGAAAGCACTGTGCTGCAGCCAGTATCAGACCCTCTGTCATGGTTTTATGATTTGAAATCTTTTATGATCATTGACACTCTCTAAACATTAATAAACATCTGGTGTGTGCTCTGCAAGTTTGAGGCCTTGTCGGACCAAAGCTTAAATTATATCCATTGATTTCATAATGGAAGTGATAGTCTACTCTGGAACATGCCAAATTCATTTACATTAGGGCTATGGCCTGCAATGGCACTTTTTTTTTCATAAGAATTAATGGACCCTCATTTCTCCTACTCTGAGTCAGAGTTTAAATCTGCAGGCCATTCCCAACACAGCTGAAACAGAAAATGAAAACACTGAAGTGAAATTTTTGAAGTGACATTTGAATCCACGATCTCTGAGGAAATCCCACCCATTGATCCAGTCAAATGACTGCAGGCTCCATGGGTCCATCCTGCAAAGCCTCCTCAACTGGCTTATTACTGTAATTCTTCAGGTGCATGCTACCCTTTTTCAACAGAGGACAGGTGCCAGCTAATCAACTGGAAAAATGAAAGCTCCTAGAGATGAAATACTCATTCAAGTGAAAGTTATGGCAATACTCCCGTGGATACATGTATGACTACATGTATCTTAGAACATTATCTCAAGTCTGAATTGCCATTTGAATACTGACTTCCTTATTTACACCATGAGTTTGACTTGGAATAAACTAAATTACTGCCCTTTCTCCAGCACCTTGAGCGTTGAGGGGCTGACTCATGTGGGAGACAAGTGCTAGGGGCAGTGTACTAGGACCTAGCTGGCTTGAGTCAAACTGCCTCTGCTCCAGGAGGCTATGTAATCTTATGGGTCCCACTGCTCCTTTCATGCCCTCCAGCAATTGTTCCTATCATCTCACTACAAGAAAATCTACTTGCTTGAGTCTGTAAAGGAGCCCTACTGTTTCTGGACCACTGCCTACAAGGAAAGCAAGTTGGGGTGCTGAAGAGAACTAAAGCATTATGAAAGAACAAAGCTGAGTTCTTTGTGGAAAAAAACATGACTTTCAATCAGGGAGCTACAGATTCAGATCAATTTTTCTAGCAAAGGGGAATAACTCACGTCTAAATGCAAAAAGGAGCTTGTCATGCAGAGATACAAAAGTATGGGGTTAGCTGTCAGACTTGATGAAGTATATAGTGCTGACAGGCCAATAATGAGCTAAGGTGAGGCTCCAGCTAGTTGGAGCCACCTTGGCTTGGCAAAATGAACTCCAAATGCTGGTACAACCACTGGAGGCAGGACATGCATAGTCAATAAGAACTTTTTTCTTGATTTGCAAATAGAGTATCAGAGTTCACTTGCCTTCTGTGTGAGTGAGTGGCAGCGTAATGCACTCGCCTTGCCTTGGCTCTAAAATGATTTCTCGCTATAAAAGTTAGTAGTTTTGATGCAGCATTTCTAAAAGAAAATGTTTGTTCAATTGCTGATCTGGGCCAACATGGGCGGAGAGGTGTCTCCTGTACCTATAGGCTAGTTACTAGAAGTGCAGTAGCATCAAAGCAAACAGAACAGCTATAAGTACGTTCTTGGTTATTGACCATCTGGTCACAGCTTCATTTTGAAGTTGCTACATGAATGGGGCAAAAGCAGGTAGAAAATTTTTCAGGGTAATCTCAGTTTTTCCAAAATATGCTACCGGGCACGTGAGGATGGCTGCTGGGGAAAAAAAAAAAAAAAAAAAAGTGCCTGTTAGGCTCTTGCTTTTATATCAGTGCTGTGTAACACAGAACAAACAGCTTTGTGGAGATAAGGGTGGCTTCCCCCACATGGGATGCTCTTGCCCCTTTCATTTCAGCCTTACTAAGTGCACACCAAAGATTTTCCACTTCTCCAGTTTCAAAGGGAACCTCCACCCATCCACAAGTATTTCCTCTGGTCTTCACAAGCTGTTATTGGCTCACACACCTTCCCTGCACTCTTTGGGAAAAGAGGCAGATAATATAGGGAGAGCTGATTCTTGGGACTAATAGTAAAGGTACCAGTTAAAGGACTTAGCAGGGGGCCTCAGATTTGCTTGCAGAGTCCTGTGTGTCTTTTCTCGCGATCAAAGTGACTGCAAGAGATTGTGGTTTTCAATTCATTTTCTGCATATGGGAAAGAGGGTGGCTTTGTGCAATGGCTGTTTAAAAATACTTCAAAAGAACTTGAATCAGTCCATGGCTGTGCTATATACAAATTAAAATAATTGATTTTTGGCAGCCTTTTAGGAGATCTATAAATTAAAGGGATCACGTTTCTGATACATTCTAGGGGACTTTATTTTATGCTGACTTACAGAGTGCCCTCCATGCCAGAGTTGGAAGTCAGCCACCAAAGCAGAGAGAGCTTCTTGCTTTCATTTGCTCTGCCCTCCTGTCACTGGGTCTCTTTCTGGAGCACCCATGGTTACGGCAGGTCCTGGACCACGCCAACTCCATACTCTTTCTTTTTATTTTATGCTTTGAGAACTTAATGTTGAGAAATAGAAGCTGCCCCAAACCCAGCAAGACCCATCCCTCTGGGGAGATAGTTTCTCTCCCTTCTTCTCCATCAGTAGAAACTGATATCCTCACCCAGTTTGTGTTGCACCTGGACAATTCCCTTTGTGTGTGCTGATGGCAATGGGTTCAGCTCTATCTGTGATGACCTAAAAATAGCTCTCAATTAACATTGCATTTCAAGAATTGGAAAATTTCCCAGAAGTCCATTCTTTTTTTCTTTTTCTGTTTCATTACATTTTACAGTAATAATACACAAGCCTGTAGAAAACATGACGGGTAATGAAAAAAAGTAATTAATATAAGCAGTGTAAAGCATTTTTTTTTCCCTCTGTTGTCCTTGCAGAAAATTACTGCTTTAAACTGAGCAGGATGTGAAAATGCATAAAGCAAACAGTAATATGCTGTGGTTTGTAAATATCTTATGCAAAACAGTTAAGTCAACTGCTGTTTATTTTTCTTACTTTGTGTCACAAGCTCTTATTTTCTTTTGTTCATTATGTTTTCCATTTGTTCTTTCTTTGGGGGCTTGTTCTCTTTCATCTTAAGGAAGTCACTGGGTTTACTATATATTTTTTTCCTGCTACAGTTAATTCAATCAAACATATAGGACAGCCTATTCTGTCTCTTCTTACCATCTCTGGTAAGTGCTGGCACTGAAATGCAACACACACCACAGAAGTGTAGCAGACCGGGTCCTCACTATACTGCAGATCTGCTCTCATTATTCTGGGATTGAAAAAAAAAAAAGAATGCAGTCTTTTATCCTACAAACAAACAAGTAATTATCCCAAATCCT